AACTTTGCAGTATGAGGGCTACATTGCATACCTTAAAAATATTTTTGGGATGAAATAAAACAGTTTTAACTATGAGAGAATAAAATTTAAATAAATGAATAAACACACTCTAAGAAATAATGTGGCAAACAAAGGAAAAGAGAACACATTGGACCGCAATCCATGAACTTTGGTCCAATGTGTTCTCTTTTTCTTTGTTTGCTCTACTAGACTTAGGAAATGGCACTAGTTTATCCTGAGAGTTAAAAGCCTTGCTTTCCCACCTAGCATTGTCTCATTCTTGTTTGCTTATATAATTAATTAACAAAGAAATAATGTCACATCAGAAGACCCTCATAATTTTAGAAATCCTACCTTCAGAAGCTTTTCATAACATCAATATCAAGTCCTCCCTTCACATCAGAAGCTCCCAATGACATCAGAAGTGCCCCATCACATCAGATGTCCTCCCTTCACTTCAGAAGCCCCCATCACATCAGAAGACTTACCTTTACCACAGAAATTCTCCCTTGGCATCAGAAGCCCACCCCCCCATTACATAAAAAGTTCTCCCTGGACACCAGAAGCCCCCCATCACATCAGGAGTCTTACTTTCACAAGAGAAGCCTCTCCATCACCGCAGATCCTCCATTCACATCAGAGCCTCATTTCACACAAACACCTATTCTGGGGACAATGATTTAAGAAAGACTTTCCCCTCTCTTTTTGGAAATTTCCTCTGTGCTACTGATTAATCCCAGGGACAGGAAGTGAAGGAAAATCTTTCTGATGGGAGATGGCAAAAATGGCAAAAAATAAACTGGCAGAGCTTTCAACTCTTCCCTACTCTGTCCAGAATTAAAAAAAAGAAAAAGTTTTTGCTACACTTACACTTCAGTTAAAAAGCCAGTGTAATGTAGGAGCCAGTCCAAGATGAGTCTAAACTTGTCAAGCTGTGGCATCACTATCTAAAAGTGGTACAACTTTATTACATGTTATAATATTGCCTAACTGAACAAGAAAAAGTTTTTTTGCATTCTTAACACCTACATTTTTCCATTGCAGATGTAACACCTGATTCACACAGCTCATTCACCAATTGAAAAAGGCTAAACTCGCATGGTAAAATCTTTGTAGTTTTTTAGTTATTGTATGACCAGGCATTACTTCCACTGTGTTACCTGTTTTAGAATAAAAAACAGCACCTTAGCCTTATTTTAACTTTAGAAACCCCTTTCAGATTTTCATTCTTATGTAAAGAACTGGTTTAACTAAATGATTATCTTCAAAATGTTATGAGTTCTCCATACACCTGATTTTGTACTAGACAGGTTCACTGGCTGCATACAGGATATTCCATGTTTTTTTGTCAGAAAAATGTTATTAATCTTTTTTTTTATTTTTGGTTACTGGACTTCTTTTAAAGACTTTTGGTAATTAACATCAGCTTTTTTTTTATTAGGGATGCCGTTGTACCCAGAACACTGGAACTTCTGAGTGCAGAAGGCTGTAGTTATCCAGACAATCCTAAAGGCTAAAAACCACATGGATAATTCTAATGTCATACCAAACCGTATGACCACTTGTTAATCTTCTCATTTGCAGCACAACAATTTGAATGTGTTGCAACAAGGTATATTGCTGTATGTCGCAAGATGAAAAATGCCAGTGTAATTTAGTCCTAAAGCCCAGTTGCAGCCTCCCACACTAAGTCTTCCCTCCTCTCCCTCTGGATGCCCACCTTATGTTTTAATTTTCATATTTATCTTATTTTAGAAGTATGCAGGTTGGTCACGTTACAAGCAGGATCCTCTCCTCCATCTTAGGACCAGTTTCTGTATCACTGGACTGTGAATGCAGGGTGCCGTGCAGATGTCACTTGAACACAGAGGAAGTTAACTGGATGACACTGGGCATATTTCAACACAGAAGAGGAGCAATGCTGGATTGCAGAGTGGTGAATCTGTACCGAACAGAGCCAGAGAAGAGGTGAGTATTGTAGCCGGAGCTACATATATACTACATATATACAGTATATGTATTCCTGATCAGCTCTAACATTTTGAGCACTGACAAGTGAATAACGTTGATTATCTTGTGAAAATGGCAGCTGAAATTGGGTGGGATATTTTAGGCAGCAAATGAACAGGGTGTCCTTGAAGTTGATGTGTTGAAAGTAGAAAAAAATAGAGAAATGTAAGGATTTGAGCAACTTTGACAAGGGCCAAATTGTAATGGTTTGACGTTTGGGTCAGAGCAACTCCAAAAGCTGCAGCTCTTGTGAGATATGGGATGTTCCTGGTCAGCAGCCAGGACCTACCAAAAGTGGACCAAGGAAGGAAAAACTGGTAAACCTGCCACATGCTCATGGGTGGGCAAGGCTCATTGATGCATGTGGGGAGAGGTGGGCTGATCCATGTAGTCTAATAGAATAGCAACTGTAGCTCAAAGTGCTGAAAAAGTTATTTCTGGCTCCAATATATATAGTTACATAGTTAGTCTGGCTGAAAAAAGACAAAAGTCCATCCAGTTCAACCAAAGAAAAAAAAAGTTATAATCCTATACCCACAGCTGATCCAGAGGAAGGCAAAAAAACCCCAGCAAATTTGCTCCTGCAGGGAAAAAAGTCCTGATCCCCCGAGAGGCAATTGGATATTCCCTGGATCAGCTTTACCTATAAATGTTAGTGTCCAGTTGTATTCTGTGTATCTAAGAAAGAATCCAGGCATTTTTTAAAGCAATCCACTGAGCTGGCCAGAACCAACTCTTGAGGTAGTCTATTCCACATTTTCACAGCTCTCACTGTGAAGAAATCTTTTCGTGCTTGGAGAATAAATTTCTTTTCCTCCAGACGTAAAGAGTGCCCCCTTGTCCTCTGTGATGACCTCAGAGTGAATAGCTCTACACCAGTTCACTATATGAACCACTGATGTATTTATACATGTTGATCATATCCCCCCTTAATCTCCTCTTCTCAAGAGAGAATACATTCAGTTCCTCTAATCTTTCCTCCTAACTGATTTCCTCCATTCCTATTATCAGTTTGTTTGCCCTTATCTGTACTTTCTCCAGTTCCCCAATGTTCTTTTTGTGAATTGGTGCCCAAAACTGAACTGCATATTCCAGGTGAGGTATAACTACTTATTTGTACAGGGGTAATATGATATCTCTCTCTCTGGAGTCTATACCTCTTATAATACAAGAGAGGATTTTGCTAGCTTTAGAAACCTCAGCTTGGCATTGCATGGCATTATTAAGCTTGTGATCTCTCAGAACCCCCAGATCCTTCTCCACCATTGATTCTCCCAGTTGTACTCCCCCTAGTATGCATGATGCCCCCAAGTGCATAACCTTACATTTATCAACATTAAACCTCATTGGCCACATAGTTTCCCAATTAAACAGTGCATTGAGGTCGACTTGTAAGTTGAAGACATCCTGTAAGGACGTTATTCCACTGCACAGCTTGGTGTCATCTGCAGAGACTGAACTTGTATTTTTAATCCCAGACCCTATATCGTTTATAAATATATAAAAAATTAAGAGTCCCAACACTGAACCTTGGGGTACACCACTGACAACCCTAGACCATTCAGAGTATGAATCATTAACCACTACTCTTTGAATACCAGTTTTTAGCCAGTTTTCTATCAATTTACATACAGATTTTTCCAAGCCCGTAGACTTTACCTTCCACATTAGCCATGTGTGGGGAGCTGTGTCAAACGCTTTTGCAAAATCCAAGTATACCACGTCCACCGCCACCCCTCTGTCCAAGGTTTTGTTCACCCCGCTCATAAAAAGAAATCAGATTTGTTTGACAACTTCTGTCTTTCATGAATCCATGCTGTCTGTTGCTTAAAATATTATTTTCACGCAAGAACTAATCTATGTGGTCTTTTATTAAACTCTCCAGTATCTTACCAACTATAGATGTTAAACTAACAGGTCTATAATTACTTGGTAAAGATTTTGACCCCTTTTTAAATATAGGAAACAAACTGGCCTTACGCCAATCCAGTGGTACTATGCCAGTCAGTAAAGAGTCTCTAAAAATTAGAAACAATGGCTTTGAAATGACAGAGCTCATTTTTTTAAGGACCTCGTGGGTGTATGCCATCTGGTCCAGGTGCTTTATTCACCTTTATACTGTCTAAATATTTTTGGATCATATCAATTGTGAGCCAATGTGGATCATCTGGAGCTGTGTCAATACCATGCCCATTATGGACAAGAGCTCCCCCATGCTCCTTTATATACACAGAGCTGAAGAAGGTATTTCATAAATTTGCCTACTCTTTGTCCTCAGTCACCCACTCTAGATTATTTTATAAAGGGCCTACATGATCGGACCGGACCTTTTTACTATTAATATATTTGAAGAATGTTTTGGGGTTGGTCCTACTATCTTTTGCAATCTGTTGTTCATTTTAAATTTGTGTGGCCTTTATTTCCTTTTTGCATATTCTGTTATATAGAAATGTTAGAATGCATAGTGCATCACAGTTTGTTGCATATGGGTCTGCCTAGCCACGGACCAGTCAGGGTGCCCATGCTGACCCATAACCACATCCAAAAGTGCCTACAATGGGCATGTGAGCATCAGAACTGGAGCATAGAGCAGTGGAAGAAGGTGGCCTGGCCTGATGATCACATTTTCTTTTACATCGTCTGGATGGCCGGGTGCATGTACGTCATTTTCCAAGGTAATAGATCGCAAGGATGCAGTATGGGAAGAAGGCAAGCTTGGGGAGGCAGTCTACTTCTACTAACAGCTTGGTGCTAGATACTACAGCATACCTTTAGAGATCTAGTAGAGTCCATGTCTTGATGGATCAGGGCTGTTTTGGTAGCAAAAGGGGGACCTACTTAATATTAGGTGGGTGGTCACAATGTTAGGACTGATCGACATATAAACAGATATACATTATATTGCCAAAGGTATTAGGACATCCCTCCAAATCATTGGATTAAGGTGTTCCAATCACCTCCATGTCCACAGGTGTATAAAAATCAATCACCTAGGCATATAGACTGCTTCTACAAACATTTGTGAAAGAATGGGTCGCTCTCAGGAGCTCAGTGAATTCAAGCGTGGTACCATGATAGGTTGCCACCACTGCAATAAGTCCATCCCTGAAATTTCCTTGCTACTAAATATTCCATGGTCAACTGTTAGTGGTATTATAACAAAGTGGAAGCAACTGGGAACAACAGCAACTCAGCCACCAAGTGGTAGGCCACATAAAATTACAGAGTGGGGTCAGCGCATACTGAAGCGCATAGTGTACAGAAGTCACCAACCGTGTGCAGAGTCAATAGCTAAAGACCTCCAAACTTCATGTGGCCTTCAGATTAGCACAACAGTGTGTAGAGAGCTTCATGAAATTGGTTTCCATGGCTGAGCAGCTGCTTCCATGCTTTATATCACCAAGTGCAATGGAAAACGTCCGATGCAGTGGACTCTAGAGCAGTGTAAATGTGTTTTCTGGCAGACAAATTATGCTTCTTTGTCTGGCAATGCAATGGATGTGTCTGGGTTTGGCGGTTGCCAGGAGAATGGTACTTACCTGACAGCATTGTGCCAAGTGTAAAGTTTGGTGTGGGGGTTGTTTTTCCAGGGGTTGGGCTTGGCCCTTTAGTTCCAGTGAAGGGAACTTTTAAGGCGTCAGCATACCAAGACATTTTGGACAATTTCATGCTCCCAACTTTGTGGGAACAGTTTAGGGATGGCCCCTTCCTGTTCCAACATGACTGCGCACCAGTGCTCAAAGGTCCATAAAGACATGGATGCATCACTGATTCCTGACCTCGAACCCCATTGGGGTGAATTAGAGCGGAGACTGAGAGCCAGGCCTTCTCGTCCGTTCATCAGTGTCTAACCTCACAAATGCGCTTCTGGAAGAATGGTCAATGGATCAAACATTTCCATAGACACACTCCTAAACCTTTTGGAGAGCCTTCTCAGAAGAGTTGAAGTTTTTATAGCTGCAAAGGGTGGGCCAATTCAATTACTGAACCCTACAGACTAAAGCTGGGATGCCATTAAAGTTCATATGTGTGTAAAGGCAGGCATCCCAATACTTTTGGCAATATATAGTGTATGTGTGTTTTGTGTATAGTTTTTTTTCTTCTACTAAAATGAATTTTCTTTTAACAGTTATAAAGGCTTGTGCAGTGAATTCCATCCAACTTCTGGCAACCATGTGGATAGCGATTCCCCAATGCACATTGCACATGAGACTAGTTACAATATTTCATGTCTGAGAGCCACACTGACAATTAGAAGATTGTTTACATTAGATTTGCAAAAAAAAGTTTCTATCCCTGTCCTTAAATTTTTTTTCCTTGCTCTGTTTGAAACAGATTGTCAAACTGTCCCCTTTAAATCTTACCTAGTCAAAGGAACATTCTGAAACTGACATCTTTCAAATGAAATTCTAAAATAAGACTTCTGCAGTCTAGTCATTTGAGCTTCTTGTGAAAAGTTGGGTTTGATTTGTTGAATGATCTGTTTGTTTTCTTTGCTGTCCACTATATTCTTAGCAATATTTTATCCCTATGCAGTGGGGCTGCATTTATGTCTAGGAATCGGGAAAAGCAGTTTTATTTATCTGATCTTCTGCTCCTGCAATCCCCTACACTCCAGATATGGACTGTTTCTCAGTCATCGGAATAGCATTGCGTCCAGTTGCAGGGCTATGGAATCTGAGCATTGGGCTTGATGAATGTCACAGAACCTTTGATCACCAAGACATAGAACAGAAGAAGTCTCACAGTGTAGAAGGAACCCTGTAGGAGTGGAGGATCAGGCAAGTTAAAGTGCTTTTCTTGTTTCCCTAGACTTAAACAAGCATTTAACCATTGTTGTTTGTGTGTGTGTGTGTGTGTGTGTGTGTGTGTGTGTGTGGGGGGGGGGGGGGGGTGTTCCAATGCCTCCAATGCAAGGGAGTAGTTTTACTTTCTTGGGAGTTCAGCTTTAAAGCCTAACTCCAAGAAACTTACAAATTAGCCCTTGCAGTGGGGCCACATTTGTGTGGGTTAACTGTTTGTTATGGTCTAGGGCAGTGGTGGGCATCACCTTTGTGTGGGGTTACAACTGATGCCCAAATCATCCCCAAAACCACGATTGAAATTTATTTTGAGAGCCACATTTTTAAAACTGAAAATACATCCCCCATATAGTAATTCATCGCCCATAGTAATTCATCCCCCATATATAGTAATTCATCCCCCATAGTAATTCATCCCCCATATAGTAATTCATCCCCCATAGTAATTCATCCCCCATATAGTAATTCATCCCCCATAGTAAATTCATCCCCCATAGTAATTAATCCCCCATATAGTAATTCATCCCCCATAGTAATTCATCCCCCATAGTATTTCATCCCCCATAGTAATTCATCCCCCATAGTAATTCATCCCCCATATAGTAATTCATCCCCCATATAGTAATTCATCCCCCATAGTAATTCATCCCCCATATAGTAATTCATCCCCCATATAGTAATTCATCCCCCATAGTAATTCATCCCCCATATAGTAATTCATCCCCCATATAGTAATTCATCCCTCATAGTAATTCATCCCCCATATAGTTAATTCATCCCCCATAGTAATTCATCCCCCATATAGTAATTCATCCCCCATATAGTAATTCATCCCCCATATAGTAATTCATCCCCCCATAGAGTAATTCATCCCCCATATAGTAATTCATCCCCCATAGTAATTCATCCCCCATATAGTAATTCATCCCCCATATAGTAATTCATCCCCCATAGTAATTCATCCCCCATATAGTAATTCATCCCCCATATAGTAATTCATCCCCCATAGTAATTCATCCCCCATAGTAATACATCCCCCATATAGTAATTCATCCCCCATAGTAATTCATCCCCCATATAGTAATACATCCCCCATATAGTAATTCATCCCCCATATAGTAATACATCCCCCATAGTAATTCATCCCCCCTATAGTAATTCATCCCCCATACAGTAATTCATCCCCCATATAGTAATACATCCCCATATAGTAATTCATCCCCCATATAGTAACATACATCCCCCATAGTAATTCATCCCCCAATAGTAATTCATCCCCCATATAGTAATTCATCCCCCCATATAGTAATTCATCCCCCATAGTAATGCATCCCCCATATAGTAATTCATCCCCCATATAGTAATTCATTCCCCATAGTAATTCATCCCCCATATAGTAATTCATCCCCCCCCATATAGTAATTCATCCCCCATAGTAATTCATCCCCCATAGTAATTCATCCCCCATATAGTAATTCATCCCCCATAGTAATTCATCCCCCATATAGTAATTCATCCCCCATAGTAATTCATCCCCCATAGTAATTCATCCCCCATATAGTAATTCATCCCCCATATAGTAATTCATCCCCCATAGTAATTCATCCCCCCTATAGTAATTCATCCCCCATATAGTAATTCATCCCCCATATAGTAATTCATCCCCCTATAGTAATTCATCCCCCATAGTAATTCATCCCCCCTATAGTAATTCATCCCCCATAGTAATTCATCCCCCATAGTAATTCATCCCCCATATAGTAATTTCATCCCCCCATATAGTAATTCATCCCCATAGTAATTCATCCCCCATATAGTAATTCATCCCCCATATAGTAATTCATCCCCCATAGTAATTCATCCCCCATATAGTAATTCATCCCCCATAGTAATTCATCCCCCATATAGTAATTCATCCCCCATAATAGTAATTCATCCCCCATATAGTAATTCATCCCCCATATAGTAATTCATCCCCCATAGTAATTCATCCCCATAGTATTTCATCCCCCATATAGTAATTCATCCCCCATATAGTAATTCATCCCCCATATAGTAATTCATCCCCCATATAGTAATTCATCCCCCATATAGTAATTCATCCCCCATATAGTAATTCATCCCCCATATAGTAATTCATCCCCCATATAGTAATTCATCCCCCATAAGTAATTCATTCCCCCATATAGTAATTCATCCCCCATAGTAATTCATCCCCCCATATAGTAATTCATCCCCCATATAGTAATTCATCCCCCATAGTAATTCATCCCCCCTATAGTAATTCATCCCCCATATAGTAATTCATCCCCCATAGTAATTCATCCCCCATATAGTAATTCATCCCCCATAGTAATACATCCCCCATATAGTAATTCATCCCCCATAGTAATTCATCCCCCATATAGTAATTTATCCCCCATATAGTAATACATCCCCCATATAGTAATTCATCCCCCATATAGTAATACATCCCCCATAGTAATTCATCCCCCCTATAGTAATTCATCCCCCCTATAGTAATTCATCCCCCATATAGTAATTCATCCCCCATATAGTAATACATCCCCCATATAGTAATTCATCCCCCATATAGTAATACATCCCCCATAGTAATTCATCCCCCCAATAGTAATTATAGTAATTCATCCCCCATATAGTAATTCATCCCCCATAGTAATGCATCCCCCATATAGTAATTCATCCCCCATATAGTAATTCATTCCCCATAGTAATTCATCCCCCATATAGTAATTCATCCCCCATATAGTAATTCATCCCCCATAGTAATTCATCCCCCATATAGTAATTCATCCCCCATATAGTAATTCATCCCCCATAGTAATTCATCCCCCATATAGTAATTCATCCCCCATATAGTAATTCATCCCCCATAGTAATTCATCCCCCATAGTAATTCATCCCCCATATAGTAATTCATCCCCCATAGTAATTCATCCCCCCTATAGTAATTCATCCCCCATAGTAATTCATCCCCCATATAGTAATTCATCCCCCCTATAGTAATTCATCCCCCATAGTAATTCATCCCCCCCTATAGTAATTCATTCCCCATATTAATTCATCCCCCATAGTAAGTCCCCAAGTCCCCCCTGTGTCAATTCACTTACCTTTGCTCCGCGCGTTCTTCTCGCCGTGTTCCCGCGCCGTTCTGGTCTTCAGGGCGGACTGTGAGAGGAGAGTTCGTCACGCTGCCCCGCCTACTTCCTGACAGCTGCAGAGTCCTGACTTTTGGGCGGCCGCACGAGAGGAGGGAGGGGAGCGGGTGCCCGGCACACAGAAGAGCCGCATTTAAGTTTGTAAAGAGCCGCATGTGGCTCGCGAGCCGCGGCTTGCCGACCACTGGTCTAGGGCAGGGGTCTCCAAACTATGGCCCTCAAGCTGTTGAAGTACTACAAGTACCATCATGCCTCTGCCTCTGGGAGTCTTGTCTGTGGCTGTAAGAGTATTGCAAGGCTTCATGGGACTTGCAGTTCCTCAACACCTTGAGGGTCATAGTTTGGAGACCACTGGTCTAGGGAACTTGTTAAAGTATATATACAGTTGTATTCAAAATAATAGCAGTCAGACATCACTAACCTGATCAATCACTGTTTTTGGTAGAAATTATATTTCTACATGGCAAATAATTTACTAGCAGGTGTAGTAGAGTAATAGAAATCCAATAGACCCAACAGTCATGGCATGCATGCTGCTGATTCTGTGTAATTGAGGGGCATGTTCAAAATAATAGCAGTGTG